ATAAATTAATTAATTGAGTTGGTTATTTATAGGCTAGAATTATTTAATTGGATTAATTAATTCACGGACCGGATTTAATTAAAGGAAAAATTGCAGCAGAAGCCCCAAACCTTTAAAACACTTGCAGACTTTCCCCAAACATTTTATTTGTGACAGCCGTCACCCCTAACCTTTACATACGTTGCAGTGAAGGTGCTTTTGGACAGAAACCGTCCAAACACCTGTCAGTTGACCGCCCAAATAAAAAATTGACCACTTTTAACCAAAATAAAGGAGGGTAAAATCGTTCAAACGCTTAAAACACATTTTCATCTTCCCTTTTATATCCACCTAAGGCAGTTGCTACACCAACTCCTTCACCATTCACCACCGTCAGTCCACCAACCTCAACTCCTACAAGTTCATCTCCTTCTAAATCTCCATTGACTTCTCCACCCGCTCCTCCCACTTTTCCTATCGATGCACCTACCGGATCTACCACTAATCTTCCATCAATCGTCGTTGGACCCGGTGGTGCAGCCCCTAACTTATCACCCAACGCCGCTATTTTGAACAGAGTACCGATTGCTGGATCTACTGCTACAGTGTTGCTACTTGCTGCTATTTTGCTGTAGATCTACTGATCTAGTTCGGAAGTTTTACTTTTTCAGTGCGGATGAACATTAGGGTTTCATTAATTATCTTGTTAATGTTTAATTATTTATTTTTACCTTTTGTGTACTCCATTGTTAATGATTCTTTGTTATTTAAGCATTACTTTTGTTTAATTAAATCCGTTGGCATTTTAATTACATTGTAGAGTTTTATATTTTTCATGTTTAAAATTAATTTCTTTATATTACTAAAAAATGAAATCATAATTCCACTAATGTTTTGGAAGATTTTACCCTCCTCTATTTTGGTTAAAAGTNGAAATGTCATTGGAAGTGGAACTACAATGCTTACCTCATAGAGTTTGAATGGAAACAAGTCTTTTGAAGCTTCAAGTCCAGGCATCTTTATTATTAAGGTTTAATACATCTGCTTCCTTAATTTCTTGGGTATTAAAGACCGGATATTGATTTCATATTTTTATAAACATAGAGAAACTGAATAGTGGTAGACCACTGTAGAAGGAAGAATTTGACCGACATATTGGAAATGAGCAAGTGTTGTTATGTTACCAATAGAAGCATACTTTTTGTGATTATGTTTAAATATAGTATTGAAATTAGAAAAATGTGACTTTATACCCATCGTTACTGAAACATTAAATCAATTTTCATGTTTGGACATGAATTGTAAATGTTAAGAACAAATTCCCTTTTATCTTGATAAGATATTTTATAGTTATGATAAATTACAAAAATAACATTTACATTCTAGATATTGAGTCTTCTATTACGAGCATAGAAAATAAAATGCATAAAATTGATAATCTAAATAATACCTAACTCTAGCCCTGTAGATTGGGTCATATAAATGAAAAACACATTTTCAAATTATATATAGATAATGTCCGCTAAGAAAGTGCAAACCACAAATACATAGGTCGTATTCAAGTAATAAACTAGACCTTTTGATTCCGAGTTGTCGATCTTTTGAGAAATGTATACTTTCAACTGTACAAGTTTAATTAATTTAATTTTAACAATAAAAACAAACAAAATTTGATATTGAAAAATAAGAAAAATTAAAAAAATCTACAAATAAGAAAATATAAACACTTGGGAATTTTGGAGGAAAAACGTAGTTGGGATTTATGGTTTCACTTAACTGTTGCCTAATTAATTTATTCACGAGCCAATTAACAAATTACTTATTTACGATGTTAGATCCGATCTTCCAATTTTAGCTAATTACCTTTCTCGAGAGCAAAGTAACCCTAATCTATTGGTTTAAATTACTATATCTCTATGTCGATTAAATCCAAATAGCCGCGTTAAATTTTTGTGAAAATATCTCAGTGGGTTTCCTAGGATTAGGGATATATCCCCTACATAAATCTAGAATTTCTACAATTTGATCTAAGATGCACAATCTTCTCTCGAACAATGTACAAATCACTAAACATAGTCATTCATTGGCCACATAAATGAAAATCCAAGAAATAACAATAATAAAAACACTTAAAAATAAGTAATTTAACATCAAAGAACAAATATTCGAGAAATGTATACTTTCAACTGTACAAGTTTAATTAATTTAATTTTAACAATAAAAACAAACAAAATTTGATATTGAAAAATAAGAAAAATTAAAAAAATCTACAAAATAAGAAAATATAAACACTTGGGAATTTTGGAGGAAAAACGTAGTTGGGATTTATGGTTTCACTTAACTGTTGCCTAATTAATTTATTCACGAGCCAATTAACAAATTACTTATTTACGATGTTAGATCCGATCTTCCAATTTTAGCTAATTACCTTTCTCGAGAGCAAAGTAACCCTAATCTATTGGTTTAACTTACTATATCTCTATGTCGATTAAATCCAAATAGCCGCGTTAAATTTTTGTGAAAATAGCTCAGTGGGTTTCCTAGGATTAGGGATATATCCCCTACATAAATCTAGAATTTCTACAATTTGATCTAAGATGCACAATCTTCTCTCGAACAATGTACAAATCACTAAACATAGTCATTTATTGGCCACATAAATGAAAATCCAAGAAATAACAATAATAAAAACACTTAAAAATAAGTAATTTAACATCAAAGAACAAATATTAAAATTAATTAAAATTAGGTTAAATTACTACCATAAATCTCAACACAATAAATTAGCCCATATTATATAAATGAAAAAAAATATTCATAATAATAAATTACAAATATGTCAAAATAATTTAGAAAATACAAAGTTATAGATAAAACCATTTTTTGGAGTTTGACCTTGAGTTTTTCAAATATTTCTCCACCTTAATGTATTCTCCCTTTGCTCTTGATTTGCACCAAAAATTACAATAAAGATCAAAGGAAAAGGAAATAAAAAAAAAAAAAGAAAAAGAAAAGAGAGATGAAAATGAAAAAGGAAGAAGACAGAAATCGATCGAAGACTCCTATCAAAAGACCCAATTGCTGGTTTTAAAATTAAAACCTAAAGAAATTGTATCCCTGGTCCTTGAAGTTTCAAAAAACACCAAAAAGATCCCTACGTCTAGTCATCATATCTCTATCAAAAACCAATAAAGTTGATTTCATCTTGCAGCCAAGTCTCACATATAACTGCACGTCAGGTCCCTCAACTTTGATCTTGTACAATTTGGTCCTCAAATTTTGACTTTTATATCATCGTTGTCTTCCATAAATTGCTTTAGTCCTCAACTTCACAATTTTGTAAGCTTTTGGTCCCTTTTCACTCCCTTTTGCTTTTTCCTCTTACCTTTTGGAGCTTATGACCTACGAAAGTCAAAATTACCCAATTGTGAGTTGATATCCACTCAATTTAATAAAAAGTTAGGTTTTAAAGTATTTAGTAAGTGTGCAAAAACAGAGCTGTCAATGAATATTTAGGATCAATTGATTTTGAATCATTCGACAAGTGCAAATCATGCTTGCTGGGCAAGATGACTAAATTCCCCTTTTCTCGAAAAGAGAAAGAGCTGTATAATTATTGAGTCTAACACATACTGATTTATGTGGTCACGTCAATCACTGTCAGAGATGATTTTTCTTACTTTATCACATTTACTGATGACCATTTTAGATATGGTTATGTATATTCGATGAATTTCAAGCATAACACACTTGAAAAGGTTCAACGAATTCAAGCTTGAAGTAGGGAAACAATTAGGTAAATATATTCCCCTACCATTGTGAGATCGTGATGGAGAATATTTAAAAGGATAACTTTTAGATTATTTAAAATAGAATAGGATTCTTTCGCAGTGGACTCTACCACATATACGGTAAAATTAACAAAAGTTCTAGTTTGGATCAATAAGTTTATCAAAAAAACTTGAAGTAGTTGTAAGTGTTATGCCCTAGATCCAATCAACTTTGCACATAAATACTTTTGATATATAATTAATACAATTTAATGACAGATTTATTATTTAATTAATAGACAATTAAATAAATAATAGAGTCCGTAGATACAAATCTTCGTAATTTATTAATCATAAGGAGTTGTGATTGTGAGATACAAATTACATCTGATTGAATCTTAAATTGTCTGTGGTCGTAGTAATAACGAGATACGGATATCGTTATTATGGATAGACCATCACGTGTGACATTTCTTACTTGTGAAGTAAGTAACTGATCTCACAAGCTAAAATATGGTGACACTTAAATGCACATGTGGATGTTTTGTTATAGAATAAAACATTTGAGACCCGCCGAGAGATTCCACATGAATAACTATTTGAGTGTCAGTAGTTAATCTTTAACGTTCGGTAGTGGAATTGGTCCTTTGACTTGAGGTTGTCATGGTACCTTATATGAGGACAGTCATACTTTGGCGGTGTTGTATGATGCTCTAAAAGGGCTGCTAATACGACATCGATCGGGTACATCAAGAATCGTATGAAGGTTGTGATTGATCAATAAAGGATTCGTCACTCTTAGTTAGTAGGAGATTATGATTTGCGTTTTATTCAATTAAGTCGATGATGAGATCCTTGGCCAAGGTGTACTCATAAGTCGAAAAGGAGTTTTCGACTTATATTGACTTAATAGTGGAGTGAAAGACATGATCATTAATCGAGATTGACAAACTTCCATATCTCGTTATTGATCGAATCATATTGACGAAGGGATTATAATTTCACAGTAAACGAACGAGTTTGGTTTTGTCATACCACGTGACATTTCCCATCACATGTATTGCACTGACACATTGCTAGATGTCAATCTGGGACGGCGAGTGTGAATTGATGATAAATTAAAAGGGTGTTTTAATTTATCAATTTTGATTAGATCAATATAATATTTCACGTCGTTAGGCATTGTGATCGGGAACCTGAAGTGTCCTACACAAAAGAAAATTGGAAGATTGCAATTTTTCAATTAATCAATTTAACAATCGTTGGATAAATTAATTAATTAGGTTAGTTATTTATAAGCCCGAATTAATTAATTGGATTAATTAATTTACGGACCGAATTTAATTAAATGGATTAATTAAATATTGGACCAGACCGAGCCAGGCCCGTTTGGGCTTATATAAATACATGGCTAGGGTTTTCAATCCATATGATTTTTCTCATAATTATTCTTGCTACCACAAGAGGAGAAAACCCTGGTAGCTGAAATCTTATTCTCGTTGTGAATCATCGTTGGAGGCTGGACAATTGGACAGTTAGGGTGGCGAATCAAGATTGCTGGAACGAAAAGAAAAGCAAAAGGTTTGCAGAATTCTTCAAAGGGACAATCTTTATCACAATTTCTATCTAAACACAAAGGGATCCCCGGTGGGAATCGAAATAATTTTAATTTTTCGCTATGCATGTATAAGTAGATTCCTAACAGTGGTATCAGAGCCCACTTTGTGTTTGTTAGAAATTGTTGAATATATTTGTGCAATCAAAAGTTGATTGTTATCCATTTTTTATGTTTCTAGCAATTGAAGAAAATTTAGTTTACTTAATTTTTTGAAAACTGATTTCGAATAAAAAAAAAATATATATTT